TTTAAACATGTTTTTGACTCACTAAATTATACACCATGTATATGTAGGAAATAAATGTTATTTTAAATACGCAATTTTTCGTTGTATTTATACAAATACTGCTATATCAAGTATTTTTTTAAGACGCTTTAGTTTTTACCTTTTAGATAAAAATTAAACTTTCTTTATAGTATAGTATTGTACTTATTAGGTGTAAGAAGGTTGAATAATGAATCGTAAGTAACAGTAACTTACAATAATTTTTATGCTAAATGTAATTGTTTGTTTCTGTTAAAGCCCGTTATTTTTATATAATGCTTTATTGTGAGTTAATGTTACGAAATATTTGTATAAAATTAAGAAAGCAGGTTATGATTGAATATATCTTATAATTAGTGTATTGTAGCTTATTGTTAAACAGTATATCTTTAAATTTCATATTTTGGCCTTTAAACAACGGGTTTGTGGTTAATCCCATTTTGCCAATGAAATTTAAAAAAATACTTATTGCTGTTCAATATTATTTATTAAATCAATATAAAAATATTCTATATGAATGTATGTATATAGGTTATATATGTATAAAACATATATCCTGTGTATCTAAATACAAATAAAGCTTTCAATAAAATATTTGGTTTTTGAAAATCCCTATTCTCTATAATATAACCTATTATGTTATAACATTAATATATTGTATTAGTATTTATATTAAATGAAACCTATAGGTATTAAAAAAAAGTTAAAAATGTAATATAACCTCAAAATTGTTATTTTAATTTAAAATATATTAACTTTAAATATTCAACGTAATGTAGAACATTTTACGATAATGGGCTTAAATAAAAATAATGTAAAAACAACGTAAAAAAATTATGAGTTTAAAAACACTAACACTAAATGGCGTAACTAGCGGATGGCTAGACTAGCAAAATTTCAGCGCCCCCAAGCCCGAGGGAGCCTCAGGTACTTGTCCGATTTTTAATAAGGATATATTTTTTTAATGGAATTTTTAGTGTTATTTTTAATATCTTTAAAAGCGTCCAAGCACTGTTCTCTAATATTGTTTACAAAAAAGTGGTACCCCACTGACATTTTTTCTGGTAAGCCTGATCAATTCTACATTAAATCAACGTTACGTTTTTCTTGTCAGTTCTTGATTAAAACAATTAAATTTAAATTTTGTAATTTTATAAAATAAAACACCCGTTTATAATTTTTAAATGCTCTACCCCTAGTGGTGTAGATAGGGGGTTGTTATCCAAATTTTATTTACCTACCGAAAACTGGGTATTTTTCATAAAATTATTATTATTTATTATACTTAACTAATATTAAACTTCCCGATTAAACCATATAAACATAACCATAGTAGACATGTCTCTAAACGGTAAATGGTTTGCGAGTTTTTGTAATTTAATTTTGTGTTTTACGGTAAAACTTTTAACTAGGTACTTGTTTTCAAACGGGCAAAAACAAAGAAGTGGCATGGACATTTTCTTTAAAAACTTGGATGCATATTTAAAAAAAACCATTGGCACCATAGATAAAACTACTACTAATACTACTACTACTACTACTACTACTACTTCACTATATTAAAAATTAAACTATTTATTGATTTCAAGCTATTATCTTATTATTTTTCGATAAATTGATTTCTTCTGGAGTTATTCGAGGTCAAAGTTTGATTAACATCAAATTTTCTGGTTTTTTTAATTTTATGGTACAATTAGCAGACGGGAGGTGAAAGGGGGCAAAACAAGGCAGCGGGGGGCAAAATGGGGTAGCTAAAAAATTTCGTAAAAAATTTCTATATATTTGAAAATTTATTGACTCACGCTTTTAATCGAAAATAATTATTCTGAGCCTGTAGAGCGAGAAAAAGGATGGTACAATTTTGGAAAACTTTTCATTTGCTCATTTTTGGGTACCCCATTCCCCCCCCCCGCTGCCTTGTTTTGCCCCCTTTCACCTCCTGTCTGATGTTAATCAAACTTTAACCTCAAATAACTCTAGAAGAAATCAATTTATCGAAAAATAATAAGAGAGCTTTTTTGTAGAGCGTTACATTTTATAAACAGCAATGATCATTGCCATAAGTTACTTTGATACAGAGGTATAAAATTCCAAACTAAAATAAAAACAGCGACCTCTTAGAGTTGAGTTGGAACGCCCATATTTGATGAGGATTTTTTATATATTAAATAAAAACATTTGAGAGGGTAAGAGCGAAAAAAAAATTAAATTTTATTTTTTGAAGCACCCTAATATATATATATATACAGTGGCGTAGCGACAAATTTCGGGCCCCCCCGCGAAAATCCTTACTGGGTCCCCTGATTTCAGGTGACATGATTTTTTAAATTATTTATAAACGAAAAGTAACAAAAAATAATTAAAAAAAAAATAAGGTTCTCCACTGTACCTACTTATAAATTATAAGTAAAATAATAACATATTTTTTTAACATAAAAAAAATAACCTTAAACTATAATAATTTTATCAGGCATCCTTGAATAGGTATATTTAGTTAATAATATTTACTTAGTAACTCTATATATTAAACTCTCTATAATATTAAACTAACCAATAATAAAAGAAATACTAACATGTAAATACTAGACCACTTTGTGCTCACCACAGCTGACCGGCGAGAAACGCATGTAAAACAGTGGAAAAATAAAATAATCAGAAGCAGTCACAAATAAGAACCTACTTGAACCAATACGAATATAAAACAAAAACAAACTAACAACTTGTGAATCACAATCGTCAAAATTTTTGGGGTTCGCAAAGAGAACGCTTTAGAACTGTCAGAATAATACGCATACCGTAAATACGGGTGACTTTGCACCCCGCGGGTGACTTTAACCCATTTATGAAAAATCTTTTCGCGCTCGATAAAATTAATATTTATAATTTGTTGGTCTAAACCTGTCAATTGAGCGATTCTATTGAGTTTATATTACAGGAAAATCGGTGTTTTAAAGAGAGAAATGGGATTTATTACACTTTAAAATTGCATATATCGTATCAGTGCAAAACTCTTAGAAATACCTACACGCGTTACAATTTCTATATTATGCGCAATCCATTGGAATGATGATCCTTGGTTAACTACAGGTCGATTTTTTATTTTTTTTATTGGTAATCCCTTGCAATAGATATATGTCGCTGCTAACACGTGTCTAATAAAAATAAAATATAATATTACATTCATTTTATACTGAAAAAACACTGTGAGACAAAGTAACCCGCAACCAGGGGGTAACTTTGCACACCCAGTTTTTAATGTTTATTTTTGAAACTTAGCCCTATGTAATATTATAACATAGTTATTATGAAAGAGCAACTCAAGACTAAAATTTTGGTATACAAAATTTAATGTTTATGATTGTTAAAACCACAATAATTTTAAGCTGAAGTTTGAAAGTGAGCCAAAGCCACCCGTGTTTACGGTAACTAAATGCGCATATCTGTTTAGAGTTAGGCGCATGTTTCCAAGTTCTGAATCGTTCCTGCGTAAACCCGCTGTCAATAATTGTTATTGTTAAATAAGCGCGATTTTTAAAATTCATCAAAAGGTTCCGTTAGATGTTTTACATTTATGTTGTGAAGGTAGGCCAATAATATCAAGTACCTACCTACATTTTAGTAAATTATGATATTTTTAATTAATCATTCATTATTATTCAATTTTTAGTATAAGTAAGATGGAAATAAGTATTTTAATGTTTTGGGGCAAGTATCGGCCGGGCCCCCTACGAGGTTAGGGCCCCCCACTTGGCGGGCGTTCGCAATACTGTCGCTACGCCACTGTATATATATATATATATATATATATATATATATATATATATATATTTACCTGGGAATATCGTTGGGGATATGTTTAATGCTTAACTCATCACCAAAGATATTGAATAAAAAATTGTATAGGGTAAAACCGGGAGAGATGGCGCAGAGGGTGAGATGGCGCACTCAAATAAATCAGAGGTTTGATGAGTTAGGCAACCAGAATTCTACTAATGCGTTCAGTTTTTATTCTTAGTTGCTATGCTGCAGTGTGCCGGTGTCAATAAGAAGTAAGGACGTGCGCCGTCTCACCCAACCTATTTGGGTTAGTTGGTGCAAGTCGTCTCTCCAGACTTTTTAAGCAATAACACGATAATTTTCTCGACAAAAACCGAAATTTTTTTAGAAAAACTACGATCATAGTTACACAAACCCAAAAACGCTTGTACCTGCTTCAGGTTTCTCAGCACTGGAAAATACTGTATGGCAATGTAACCTAACAATGTCATCTCTGTGCGTAAAAATTGGCATTTTTTTAGCCTTAGTGTAAATCCCGCTTAAGACAACCTCGCGAACACATGGTCTAAACGTTTGATGTAATCCATGAGCGTTTTAGAAATAATAACTAAATCGTCAACATAAGCCACAACAAAACTGTGAAGCGGTAATTTTAGTGCCATGTAAATAACCTGTAATTCTTTTCTCTTGAGAAAAGCAAAAGCAAACCGCAGTGCAGGGCTTTGAACAGGGGAGTTTTTGTCTTGAGAACGCAAAGGGATTTGGTGATAAGAATGTGTGATGTCAATAGTCGATATATACCACACCGCGGCGCCGCAGTGGTACGTTAAATTACTCCTCATTTTAGAACATGGGTCAGCAACAGGCGGACCGCCAAATATTGTTAAATATACATACCTACATATTAATTTAAATATTATTTTCATATAACTAGCCCTTTATTGATACGTTGGGTTGGGGTGACAACAAAATCACTCAACTTGAACTTCTGCAAAAGGCATCTTTCTACGCCATGGCACTTAATGAATCATGTGACATTTTTGATGATGAACAAATGTCTATTTTCGTGAGATTTTTTGACATTGAAAGTCAGATGTTCAGGCAAGAATTGCTCACAATATTGCCGTTGAAAGCTAACACTCGAGGAGAAGTTATATTCAATGCCATTGATAAATTTAACTAAATCCAACATTAGTTATGACAAAATGGTGTCGCTTTTAACTGACGTGGACCCAGCGATGGTTTGCAAAGAAAAAGATGTAGTAAAGAGGATCAGGGATAAGTATCCAGGTCTAATATTGTATCAGTGCATAATTCACCAGACAGCCCTTTATGAGAAGCTACACTAAAAGATGTAATGGACAGCTTGGTCAAGTTGATTAATTTTATGAGATCATATTCTGCTCTTCAGCACCGACAGTTGAACTGTTTCTGTGATTCAGCGTATTCTGACTTACTACAACACAACAATGTTCGTTGGCTAAGTAAAGGTCAAGTTATTGAACGTATTTGGCTAGTAAAAGAACAAGTAACCTCCTTTTTGCAAAACTTGGATACGCAGGGAGCAAGGAAGCACTTGGAGTTCATAACAAACGAGCGCAATATGCTAGCTGTCGCTTTTCTGAAAAATATTCTGAACTATTTAAAGAAAACTGAAGAAGACATTGCAGTATGTTTAAGACTTAGGAACGAATTTGCTACAAGATTCCAAGACTTTGCAAAGCTGTCTTAATTTGAAAATTTCAAGAAATTAGCTATCAATCTGGCCACTATTAAGGCTCGACAATGTCTCAAAAATGAATTTTTTGAAGAACAAATATCGTTCGAGATTAACCGACACGTCGCGACGCCGACACACTTCCCATTTGCTGTTCTCCTCGTGAACCAAACTATAAAAAACTGGCTCAAGAACGTCGGCTTTAATTTCTCGCATTCATTTTACGTATTTTGTTATAAAATTTAAATAACTTAATTTAAAAGCAAAATAAAAAATAGTATTTATCATTATCAGTTTTTTTTTCTGAACCTCGATAAAAATTTTCAGCAGTATCCGGACCCCACTTAAAATTACTTGCCGACCCCTGTTCTAGAATCTTCTCATTTTTTTTGCACGGCTTCGCGATGCGCATGCGAGATTGGATATGGTTTCTGAAAAAACGGTGTTTCGTCATGTAAAAGGATTTCGAGCGTATACTCCAAGTCCAAGTCAGTCCGGGCTTATCCTAAAATATAAAATTTGATTTTATAACCATCAGAAATTTCTAAATTTTCTACTATATTTTTAAAATTTACATTAAAACTACTCACATTCTTTAAATTAACAATATGGGAAAAACGACCTTTATAGATACGGAAGCTAAGTAGGGATTTCCAATCCCTCAACTTCCGGGATTTTCGAGCCCTTAACTTCCGGAATTTGTATCGTTTCGTTATCGTATACAATTTTTAACATCTGCTTGTAGGCCTAATACAGCCCAGATCAACTGGAAAAACCAATTTGGAGATATAAAATAATTCAAACTCCAGTTTAAAATTATTAAGCGAAAACGAAAGCAAGACCTGGTGCGTTATCCGACGCAACTTATTTTTATACCCTTCTGAAACCTTAACTCCCGATCCCGGAAATATAGGTACCCGATTTCCTTCCTCGACGGTATTCAAAACTAAAGCATAGATCGCACATATTTCCCTACCTGTGTCCACAAAAGCAGGGAAGTGGCAGCCAAGAATGCTAATTGACACGATCGGCGCCGAGGATTTTATGGTAATATGGTTAGAATCCCCCTCAGTTAGTAAATCTTCTCGCGGAATATTTACAACTGAATTTATCAAACGGGCTCGTTTAACTGTTGATTCCCTGGTAAAACCATGAACCCAGAAATCAAAGAGTTTTCCGGCGTGACGATATCCCAAACGACTCCGGCTCACCCATGCAACTTAATTTTCGCTAATTTTTTCCTTTCTCAACCGTATATTAGTTTTGACGTGCCCCGTACGCTGGCCGGGGTACCGTTACCATTGTTGTTCACCTGCTTTAAATTATATTTCCTAAGCAAAGACAAATCGAAATTGGTTTCGTAGTTTTCGGCCAGTCTCAACTTTTCCAGTGCCTCAGCTATCGTCCTCGTGCCGAAAAGCTACGCTGAAATAATCGGTGGATAATGTCGTGTTACAAGAGCAACAAGCTCTATTTCCGTGTAACATTGCAGGTGTTTAGCGGCCGCAATCTGCGGCATAAAATATTCAACGTGTTAGTTTGCCGTTATATTTGCCTATTTCTAGCTGGAATTATATACAAAAGGCACTTCGCCCAGGTTTACTATCTGTTCTAGACGATTTAAAAAATCTCCAGGGTTAACTGTGTCCCCATCAAATTTAGGAAAGATATCGAGAATTTTCAAAAAAATTGTTGTTTAGGCAAGTTACAGTTTACATAATTTGTGTTTACATTATTGTTATTAGGGTAACGTATTATTAGCGCAATTTATGTTAGGATTTACATTATTAGAGTTTATATATTGTAAGGTTGACATATTTTGGTTTCTAGGTTCCCTTTTCCACGCGTAAGCATGTGGGGATGGTAATCCCATAAATAGTAAAGGAACCGATGGGTTAAAATTGGATGTTCCAGGCAAGGTATACGATTGTAAAACCTGTCATAGCAAAAGTAATTGGAACAGGCTCAACTGATTCCCTTATTCTAGTCTGGGATTCTACGCTTTCTGATGAGTGGTTTGCTGGCTCGGTATGTCTGGCGGCTGTGTTTAGCCCTCTCGTTCCTGTTGTTGATTTGCAGTTCTTCCATATTCCCAGCCATACCTCTTGTCACTAGCCTTCCTGGGGTTCTTGCTGTCTGCATTGTATATTTCTTTCTCCAAGAGTCTTGCTAAGGAAGCCTAGGCCCTCGTTGGTAGGCAAAAGTTGTACCGGAACACTCAGGTTGTATGAGGATTCAAAGAGTGCAGAAATTAATAAAAATAATACACGAGAGCACCGAACTTTATTGTGTGGGACTGCTAAGTAAATCTACAAGTTGTCACTTTACACGCTACAACGTCTTCAATATAGCAAACGATCTATAACTCAACATTATTAACATCTTTGTTTCCACAAACCCCAAACCATGCAAACAACAACTAACCTATACCAAGAAATTAACTCAGCGAATTATTAGAATTTTAATAAGATGGCTGTCTAAAAGTGTTCAAAAAAGACTGGATACGGTTAATTACCGTTAAATGCAAATATAGCGGATTCGAGCCTCTGTGTTTCCTTAAATGCACTTATACAGTATTGCCTACTATGGTGAGGTAGTTCCGTTTTATTGAGTTGTCTAGTTTAAAAAAATTCAAAATGAGTCATTTATACCAATAAAATCAAAATATTACGTATTATATTAGTGCAAAATTATATCCGAACAAAAACGGCTATTTCCAAGGAAAATAATTCATTAAAGTTTTACGTTAGTTTCAAATTGATTTATGTTTTTATTTAAAAAACATATATTTCAAAGGAAGATGGGCATTTTAAGTACATTTTTGTGCTTAAAACATCAGTGAAGATGCCGGTATTGAAACTTTCAATACCGGCATCTTCACTGATGTTTTAAGCACAAAAATGTACTTAAAATGCCCATCTTCCTTTGAAATATATGTTTTTTAAATAAAAACATAAATCTGGTAATTATTTGGTAGAAACAATATTTTCAGTTAGGTACCATTTGAACAAGTTTTTTTAAATAAATTTATTTTTTACCCATTACTATTTAGAATGTTTTTTGCCGTTTACTTAAAACATTCTTTAAAGAAGATTACGTTTTTTGAAATTAGAGGACTTAATTATAAATACGTGCTAACCCCTAAAGCTTCCCTCACGCTAAATAAATAGTTGTCACCTCATCATAAAGGCATTCACAATAATTAATTTTTCTTAACCTGAGGGTCAAAATCAGAGATCAATCTGTCATTTTTAAACCATACCCAAAAAGAACGAACGTTGTACTTGTATTAACTAATTCGTTTACTGAGCCTGCATTTACCAACTCTCTTAAATGTGTTAATCCCTGGGCCATTGTCTCTACCACGCGATGCGAAATTGTGGGTGGTTTGGACAGCAAGCTGCTTTCCTTTCCGGGGTCACCAGGACCAGTGTCACTTTCACTTCTGTTAATTTTGCTTTAATTAGCAACACTCACGATACAGGGTTTTTTGTTGTTGTCTAGTCTATAGTAAGGGGCGTTTATCTTATTTAAGGCGTATTCATGCTCACTTAAAGTAATAAATGGGTTTTATGTGTTAGTCATGGAGCCATGGTGTTGGCGATAGCGTTGAGTATTGCTGTCGTTTGTTTACGTTTATAGCCAATACATAACCTATATACTATAATAAAATATAATTTTGTTTTTTGTTACTGACAACTAAACGTAGGTCTGGCCCATGCTAGATTTGGTAGGACAAAGAAATCGAGTGTTGCCCAACATATATATACTTGATGATGGTCATAGAATAACCTTAAACTTTAGGAAACCAAGTCTGCTAAATAGTTATGAAAGTTTATACATCTATTAGAATAGCGATAACAGACCGGTACCCAACTCTAGTTTGAATAAATTAGTTTGTTAGTTTCTCTTTACGTGTTGACTAAAGCGATTACGGCCCACGGTTTAGTAAACTGTGTCTGTTTGCGGTTCAGTCAACCTTAGCTTATAATTAGTATAAATATGGTAGATTTAGCATTTAGATTTAGTACACTTCGCTTCTGAAGATTTAAGATATCACCAAAGTTGTCATGTATGAGAACAAACATTTTTTATTTACAAAATGTTGTGTTTTAAAAAAATATTTTATGCGGTACTTTTTATGTTTTTGAAATATCTTGATCTTTGTTTTTGCTATATAAATACATATTTTTATCAAAACTGTTAAAAAAAAGTATATAATATACATTATAAAACCTTGGGGTCTTTAAAAGACCCCACTTCGTTTCATATGTTGAAAAAAAATAGCGTCCTATGTCAAGGGTTAATAAATAAATTATAAATAATAATAAATATATTTTAAATAAATTATAAATAAATAAAAATAAAATGTATTTAATAACTTAAAGTGCTTTCATCATCATTTCCAATATAAATGATAAGTGGTTTAACTTGAACATCTACAATGTTGTCCACATTTTTGCCCCCACCTTTGTCCTTTGCATGTTAAACACATTTTTCCCACTTATCCGCTGTAATCCTTTGAATTAAAGAGTTATTTAAGATCAGCGAATTTAAAAGTAGTATTACGCTGAGCTATAAAGTTTTTAGCTTCGGCCAAACGAAGTACAATTTTGTTTTGACTCTTGGCCATTTCGTCAATTATGTACTTTTGGTATTTGGTCTTTTGTTTTTTTACAATTGCCAAAAGTTAAAATTTAATCTTTGATTTATCAAATTCAATATTCTAAGACCACAGCCAGTTTTGAATATCTCTTTTTTTTAACTTTTCGGTACTTGTTAAGTTCTTCGAGAGTGATAGGGTGCGTTATTAAGAACAAACTGCATTCTCTTCTAAACGAGGTAAAATGTCAGAAAACCATTGTTTAAATGATTCCCCGTCCATTTCCTTGTGGTAATCCCCTGTCTTCTTGTATTCGAAGCACCATAAGCCACTATAAACAAATCCATTATCATTTCCAATGACAGACGATTAGCCGTTTCCCTTTTTTCGAGGCACTTGTAAAAAGTAACTT